ATAAAAATATAATAAATAATAATATGATAATATAATAATAATAAATGTATATAATAAAGTATAGTATACAAGTATTTATATAATAATATTTGCATTGGCGCTGAAGCAGCATAGTTACAATAGACCACTGAACCTTGAAAAATAAATTAGTCACTTAACTCCTTCGATGTTTCTCTTACAACAAATCGCTTACTCTAACCTACCGATTTTGCAAAGTTTCTTTTCGGGACCGTTATTGGAAGAGTCAATTTGCATTGTCGCCATCCTTTCAATACTTCACCGTCGAGCTGTACTTTCGAAAGTATTCCCTAAACAAAAGCGTATTGGATCACGTTATTTGCACAAAAAATGCAAATGTTATGGCCACCTTTGGATCACTTTCTGTCGCGTAGTTCAATCGCGCTGAATTCTCAACGAGAATAGTAAGCCTATCGTGAGGTTTGCATCCTTTCAGTTCCACCGATCGTACAGTTTTTCCGTAGTAAGAATGTATAAATGTTCCCTAGGGATTTCCCGTTATATAGAAAATAAGATACCAGTATTAATGTAGCTAACAACGTGACGCGAATTCAGGAAAACATATCCGAAGTCCTTCAGAAGCTTGATTTCCAAGGTCTTTCCACATCTTTCCAATTTCTAGAAAACATTTCGTTTTGTATTCTAACCAAGAAAGCCAAATTTCTCTACCTTCTCATAGAGAACAAATCCGAATGGTTGCTGAAGCTCTTCAAATGATTTTGGATGCACTGACTTCACGCAACCCTTATTCGAGGTACCGAGAACATTTAGTGGTGTCATCTCGATATTGCCATAGGCAGTTTTTCTGGAAATATCGTAGAAGTCAAAGGTTTATCCTACAGAGTACTAGCTTGTTGTTGGGTGGAACGTCAAAAGGTTTATTCTTCCAGTTGGGAAGGCTCTTGATCCAATTGCGGATAGCCAGATACTTTTCGTTAACGTCACCACATTCCGATATCGGGGCGAAAAAGTCGTAAGAAGTAATGACCTTGAAAGGAACGCATGGTTATTTTTAATTAGAGTATCGCAAAAATCAGAAATTTATAA